TGCTGAGGTTATTAATGAAGAGAAGTAAAACTGCTGACTAACACTATATATACTGCTGGAGGTGTGAAGATTCTTACAGAACAAATGCAAGAGCACCTTTGCTTGAGCAAAGGTATTTGTAGGCTAAGTGGAGACCCAGCCTAAATTCTGACCAATTTCTGCTATAAATGTGCTTCTTATAAGGAAAATAAAAACAAAATAACTGCACTGGGTAAAAAGAGGAAACTGCAGTATGACTTCAGAGAGAAAAAACTTAGAAAAATGTTACTGAGTTACCTGATATCCTCTGTGTGGAAATGGCTCTCATCCTGCTGGCCAAATAGTTAAACTATGTCATGTTTCAATGTAGGTTTGTTTATGTTTTACGTTTCTTAAAGTTGAAGTGGTGTGATAGTTTAATTGTTTGTGTGTCATTAATAGCAGTGTACGATACTTTGTGTGTCACTTAGGCTTTTCTAATGGAACTGTCTCTTTGGGAGCCTGATACAGCATCCCTTACTTCTGAGAGTAACCTGTTGTGTAAACAAAGGCTACAGGATTGATAGAATTTTTTGCTTGCCAGTATGAAGTAATCTACTATTTATTTTAGAAGTTTATTATTTTAAGTGTGGAGCTCTGAAACTTTGTCCATTGGAGTCATTCAATTGAATTTCATAGGTTTTATGTCAAACTTGTATATTAGTTTTAGCTGTTACATACTGTAAGGGAACTGGGGCATGCTGTGTGAATGTGTATGTGACTTGAGCATGCTGCATTTATTACCAAACTCATTTTTTGTGGAGTAATTTATCAATTTGAAAATGTGGCTTGTAATATCAAAACAATGAATCTACTAGAAACTCATGTTGTAGGACTTTTGGGAAAGTTTATGCTTACATATCCTGAACTTCACTGAGAAAACCAGTTTTGATTTGAATGTTGCAGTATAAAGTGGATCATCCTTCCAGCAAAACTATTGATATGTTAATGAGAAGACTGATGCCTCTCCTTATAAAGAAACTTGCCTGGTTTCAAACAGTTATATAGATGTTCCAGCACTCTAAGTTCAGTGGTTGATCAAAGTGGCAAACAGACTGGTGCTGATCACAGGGGTTTGCTTCTGTCCTTGTCTGTTTGATGCAAGGTAGGCAGTGGCATTACACGTT